TTTTTTTTTTTATTTGCAATGAAAACAAATTCTATAGACAATTGTAAATTTTTTTTTTCCTTTAATGGGCAATTTCCATGGAAAACAAAGTCAAACGAACACCAAAAGATCCAAAATTTCAACATTTTTCAGGTGAAAAATTATACCAATCAAATACTCCCAAGAAAATAATTCTAGACAATTCAATTCCCTGTAATTTATTTTTTTTCCATCCAAATTCTACTATTGCAATCAAACGGATCCGTAGAGAAATTAAAGGAACATCTGTATTTTGGATCTTCAATTAAATTGATCATTATTTTAGAATATATTTTTTGTACTTCTCATAAGTATTAAATTCAATCAAAGAAGAAAATTACAATGTCTCGTGTACGTTTAACTTGATGTGCTAAACATACCATAAATATTATAATTGAGTTTTATGTTTGATCTCTACTTATTGTGTTGTATTATAATTGTGAAATTCTCGCGTCGAAGATAGAAATGGACGAGACTTCTCTATTAACCATTGGGGTTAAAATCGAACCTTGTAGATATATAAGTTTGTTCAAAGTTATTCAAGAAAGGAGGTGGATGACACCAACACTCGAATAGAAAAGGAGGCATCAATCAGTCCTAAAACACTCAGATTCTTACAAGAAGTGATCATAAATATTTAACTCTTACAACAACATACTTCAAGTGATTGTTCTTTTGTCTTGTTCGAGTGTCAATATTTAACTCTTACAACAACATATGGTCGAACTCATTCTAAAGGGACATTCTTTCTTAAGAACCAAATACCAAAATTGATCACGTGACATTAACTAAATATGCAAATCATATGGTTTGGCCTAGGAAGACATCTCTTCTTTTAACGAAGTATCGATAGCAAACTCCAAAATGCAACAATTTATACAACTCATCCATAAAATCTTTAATTGGTTGTGCATAATGAAACACAAGGGACTATCAAAGTAGACTAACTTGAGAGAAAAAAATGATTACAAAATCAAAGGCTCGAATGAGACTCGAAAAGAAACAATTATGCAATATTAAACACATGACTTACAATTATGCAATATTAAACACATGACTTTCGTTCAAGTGTGATGCCCAATCAAAATTGATTATCCTTATATGCAAGTTCCAAAAACTTTTTCTTAACATAAAGAAACCAAGTCAAAGAGACTCGTGACAATGCATAATAATTATCATTAAAGTCTTCGAGCTTACATTACACATTAAGAGTATGCTCAGAAGTTTTATAATTGAAAATAATTTATCTATTAACTTGGCATGCAATTTAGGAACATTAACTAAAAGATAGGTAAAATCCTAATATCGAAAGAAAAGTGTGGTATCAAACAATGGTCCTGAAAAAAATGTGGCAATTTGGGGAGTCTTATGCAATTTAGGTAACACCTAAATAAAGTCAACATGAAAATCATACAAAAAGAGTAGGCGATATCAATTTTGATTCGAGGTCAAGGACACATGGGATGTTGGTTTGGGTGGCAATGCTATAGGTATTAGAGNCTTGAACTTCATACTTCAAATGATCATTCTTTTGTCTTGATCTAGTGTCAATATTTAACTCTTACGACAACATATGGTCGAACTCATTCTAAAGTGACATTCTTTCTTATGAACCAAATACCAAAATTGATCACATGACATTAACTAAATATGCAAATCATATGATTTGGCCTAGGAAGACATCTCTTCTTTTAACGAAGTATCGATAACAAACTCCAAAATGCAACAATTTATACAACTCATCCATAAAATCTTTAATTGGTTGTGCATAATGAAACACAAGGGACTATCGAAGTAGACTAGCTTGAGAGAAAAAATGATTACAAAATCGAAGGCTCGAATGAGACTCGAAAAGAAACAATTATGCAATATTAAACCCATGACTTTCGTTCAAGTGTGATGACCAATCAAAATTGATTATCTTTATATGCATGTTCCAAAAACTTTTTGTTAATATAAAAAAACCAAGTCAAAAAGACTCGTGACAATGCATAATAATTATCATTAAAGTCTTTGAGTTTACATTATGCATCAGGAATGCTCAAAAGTTTTATAATTGAAAATAATTTATCTATTAACTTGGCATGCAATTTAGGAACATTAACTAAAAGGATCCATTTTAGGATTATAGCTTTCTAAAGTGTGGTATCAAACAATGGTCCTGAAAAAAATGTGGCAATTTGGGGAGTCTTATGCAATTTAGGTAACACCTAAATAAAGTCAACATGAAAATCATACAAAAAGAGTAGGCGATATCAATTTTGATTCGAGGTCAAGGACACATGGGATGTTGGTTTGGGTGGCAATGCTATAGGTATTAGAGCCCCAGATTATCAACAAATCTCGGCCCAACAGTCCACGAGAGATATGGGTTTGCTCCCACCCAAGACACAATGTGTGAGGGGGAAATTGTTGAGGTTATCTCACATCGATTGTGAAATGAGCTAACTGTCAGTTTATAAGCGTGAGGGAAAGTCTCTCCCCTTGAACTAGCTTTTGGGGTTGAGAAGGCCCAAGACCACCCAACATCTCCTTTGTTCATGTATTAGTAACGGGGATTATTTTGGAATGAAGTAAAAGTCGAAACATATTTATAGAATTTGAATTATAAGTTTTTTTTAACATTTTGTACCTATACAAGTCACAGAATAAGAAAGCGTATACACACTTTCGATTTTCTTATCTTGTCGAGACACAGTAGTTGAGAGTGAGTTGAGGGTCGGACAGTCATGAGCCATTAAAGATCATTCTCATCTAAGTCAATCCCATCAGAAAGAAAAGAGTCCAGGAGAAGTTGAGAAGCTGAGGGTCTCATTCTTGGCTGCCCAATGCATCTTTCAATGAATGCCTTCAATTCTGGATCACTCACTTTCTTCATGGCTTGAGGCATCACCCCACTAGTAACCTTCTTGTATATCTTCGCAAGGTTGTCACATTCACTATATGGTATTTCCAATGTGTCCATTTCAAGTAAACACATTCCAAAAGAATATATGTCTACTAATTCTGTGTAATTCTCCTCATAAAGTTCAGGTGCCATGTACTCTGGTGTACCCAATAGTGAATGTGCAGCATGACTCTTTCCAACTATCGTTGCCAACCCTAAATCTCCAATCTTGACCTGCAGAATGTTGTAAATAAGATCAATCCCAGTTAGTGACGACACTAAAAATATGATGATCCTGACGAATACCAAATATCAAACTACAAGGAAAGACGATTCTCCCTGAAATCAATCATGTTTGAAGATTAGTCTATATCATTTATAAACGTGCCTAGTCACTTGTATAATGCCTAATGAATAAACCTTAATGCTCTTAGTCTTGGGTAGAACGGTTCAGGTCCAATTAGACAATAGAAAACCGTGAACCAGAATTAAGCAGTGAAAAATGATTTAATCAACAGAGGGGTTTCAGGGACATTTCCTAGGTGAAGATAATGACGACTATTTAGGTAGGGATACCAGAGGTGCACCTACTTCCATTGATTCATGATGTTAATTTTCGAGCAACATTAGTTAGTTTGTACATACCTTTCCGACATTCCCGTTGATGAAAATATTACTGCAATTCAAATCTCTATGAATGATGCAGGGCTCATGAGTATGGAGATAGTCTAAGCCCTTGAGAATTTGCCTCGACCATTTCTTGATTGCCTTGATGGATACATGGCGATGCTTCTTCCTGTACTCCCTCAGATTAGATTCACATGCCTCGGTGATAAAATTCAGAGTATTTTTGTCTACATCTTTCCAAAAATGGTAGAGAACAATGATGTTATCATGCTTCAATGTCTTTAGCAACTCGATCTCCGAGTGAAGTCTAATTATAACAGATGGATCACTGCTGAAGTTCCTGAGTCGAACCTGGTTCCAGGCCACGTCAATTCCTTCACGTTGATCAAATGCTCGATAAACCTTCTTCACAGCACCACTGCCCAGCAGATCACTGTACCTCCCAAACCTGCCCGTTGGATCAACCTCAACGAATGGTTCTTCATCGTCTTCAGGCGGATCAGGAATTGCTGATGGCATTCTATATGAACAGTCCTGCAAAACAAGACCCGGTTAGTGAACTCTGCCAGGGAATCTTCTCTTATGTTCAAGGAAGAAACCTATTATGAAATGAATTCAGCAGAGGATGCTGTCTCTGTGATAATCCCACCATCCCAAGTGATCAACATGAAAAATTAGATCAAAATATGCACTGCTAAAGATTACACCTAAAATAGAAAACTCAAAAAGAGAGAGAAAAACACATTTAATATTATCACAAAATCATCATCATCGACCATTTATATTCCCTTTATCTCAAAAATCATTGATTGGTTACATAAATTAGGCAATAGGCTTACAAGAAAGAACTCATTGCACAATATCATGAGAAAAAACAGAAATCAATGTACTAAAACTCACAGCTATCCAAAAAGTCAAAGAGTCAATGATCAATAGATTGAACTAGTTAATTTCACATAACCTCCTAAGATTCCCCTTCTCTTTATTATTATTATTTTTTTAGGATGACGGCAAGAATATTCATAACAGAGCGCTTTCAAAGTTCTTAAAGTTCGTTCTGATCAAATTTTGAGCCGGTTATCATTCTTTTTTCAGATCAAACCAGGCCGGTTTTCAAATCATTGATAAAATCAAGGAAGCCTTCAGCACGGAAGAAAATCTGCTATTGGAACACTACATTTGTAAATAGTAAAAGATGAAAACCAAACCATATGTAAATTTTTGAGCATTAAATTGATTGCAAAATATTCAGCTCCGTAAATTTCAACAATAATAAACCAGTATTGTTTTCACTAAATTTAGGGTTAGTTACATTACATGACAGATTAATCATTTTTTCATAACTATTCACTTGAACTAGTTGATTTTTAACACGAAATTACCCTATCCGTGACGAAATAATCAGAAAATTAAAACAATAAATTACAGTAATTACCTGATTTATATGAAGAGCCTGTTTAGAGAAGAAAAGGAAGGTGATGAATTCAAGTAGGGATGACTGGTGAAGAAATGTATGAATGTGTGTGCATATATAGGCGTATATGACAGTCCAATCAAACTTTTCTACGTCTCTATGAATATGTGAAAATATATAAACTTTTTCTTAGTTCGGAACAAAAATACGTGCGTTCGGTAGAGATTAAAATCGGATTAAAATTGAAAAACTAGCCGTTATTGTTTACTTTTATTAAACAAGTAGGACCCAATAACTACTATATTTTCAATTTTAATTGAATTTTAATCTTTACCAAACAAGCACTTAAGAGTTTCTTATATTAATATCAAAACAAGTAAAGTTCTTTAACAATGAATGATTAAAATCTTACTTATTTCAAAATTATTTAATTATAAGATATTGAATAGCAAGAACATCGATGACAAAAAAAAATGGCATTCCAAGTTAGAGTAGAGAATACAAGAAGCCACGTGAATCCATTTATTTTGGTTAAGTAATCTTCAAGATTGACACAACCTTAACCAGCTCAATATTAACACCTAATAAGGGTTTCGAGGTTCGAATATAAAAAATATCTTTCAACTAGAATATTTATATTTACATACTATTCGAGTTTAAGGAGTTGTATGACAAGCTCATGATAAAAATTTTAGCTTATTTCGCATAGTTGTCAGACTCGACCTGAACACAGACCCGAACAATGCAATGGGTCAATGAGTTAGTGGTTCAACTGGTAACCCGATAGTTCAACCAGTGGGTCATTGTATAAAACCTTACAAAAAAATCTAAAGTATAAATTTTTTTTATAGGCAAAATTAAAATTTTTAATTTATTTTTCACTAATTATTTAAGTTTATAAAATAAAGTAAAATGTGGGATCAAATTTTTTTAAAAGAATATTTTTATAAAACCTATAAATTATTCATTAAATAGATATAAGTTATTTGCAAATAAATAATACTAAAACACTCTCTGTCAAGTGATGAGGAACCCATTAATTTTCTTAGAGGTCCAATGTTCAATTCTCTTGAACCTTAAAATTTTGTAAGAGAATTTTAAAACTCAATCAAACCGGTCAATCCGACTGGATAAATCGCCGGTTAATTCGGTCAAATCCCGATTTTGATCGAATCAAGTGTATTTTGATAAAATTAATCTACCCGGCCAGGTCAAGGGTCTGGGCCGGGTTGGGTTTTATAACTATGGTATTTCATTAAAAATTGATAAAATATAAGTTCCCATAGAATGCATAGTTGACTTCGACCTCAACTTTTTAAATACTTTTCAAGTTTGATTTTTAAATAGTTTTCAAGTATGCCTATCAAACGCTCTCATTGTTAGAAGATCTATTTGATAAGAAAATCTCCACGTGTGAGCGAACAATATCTAGATTATATTTCGCAAATTCAATCTTAATCTAAAGTAATAAAAAACTTGATATAGACTCTCCCACTTATTATAACTTTTTAAGAAAAATAGTTGTATTACCCTATAATAGTTGGACATTTATTACACACATGTTAATTATTTAATAAAAATTTAAATCTGATTTGCACGTAAAAAAATTGTTTAAACACATGATTTAAAACGAGGTGATTCAAAACAATAGACCTTATTCCTACTCCATTTGCTAACATTTGAATTTTCTTGTTCTCTGATTTAGGGGTGGAAGCGGTTCGATTTTATCGATTTTTGACAAATTTTCAAACCAAACCGTTTCAACCGGTTTGAGAAAAACTCATACCTAAACCAAACCGTTTTGACCGGTTTGAAAAAAACTCAAACTTAAACCTAACGATTTGGTCCAATTTTAAACTGCCGGTTTCGAGTATATTTTTTTGTTTGTCTTGTGTCTAATTTCATGCCATTAATTCAATATATATATTTATATCTCACTGGCAATAAATCTAAAATAAACTAAATATATCTAGTATAAATTTAAATATCAACAAAATCAAAGTAAAATCACAATAAACTAAAATCACA